GGAGCATTGTTGCCCCAAGAACTTCTTCATGGATATAACGCTTTCATTAGGTTATTTAAGACGGCAATGGAGGATATGCCTACTGACGATCACAAAACCAAACGTGAGCACATGTAAATTGTTGTTGAAAACGTTGGACCAAATGTTTCAATAAAAATTTAATTATTAATTATGTAGTTCTTTTAGCAGTTCTATTTAGTAAGTTTTTAGTCACAGATCTTCGAATCGTCAATCATTAAATAAAGATATTTTCAAGTAGAACTCAGTGTGGCAATCAGCTGTCCTAAAACTCATAGCTAGTAATTTAATGAGGTAAAACTACAAACATACATATATGTACATATATCTAAATTTTACGTACTGGTATATGCTAATCATTTTCGCTTTTCCAAGTATCTAAACAACTGTAAATATTATCAGCTTAAATATAATTGCCACCGGCAATTCCCAATTCTAATGCTTGTGTTAATTATAAGTGCCAATTTTAGAGTCATTGTCAGTTGAAAACTTTGTAACATAATTTATAGATTTAGAAAAATCCATGGAATAAGCACAAATATAGGGTGTCTAAGAATGATCACAAAACAAAAAAAAAAAAACAAAATACATACCAAATGGCCAAATTGATATTGGGACACTTGAGCTAGATCCTTGATAGGAAGTTGTCGTGGAGGCCAAACATGGAGGGAAGGAAGGCATCAGTGTCTTATACTACTATATGGAAGCTATTGAAAAGAGATGAGGTATTTCGCCCATAGTTCTCTATTGGTTCTACGAGACCGCCTGTTATGTTTTATGGCACCATAAATAGTCTGTTGGAACTCACTTGAAAAGGCTACACTAGCTAAGCAGCTAGAGCACACACAACGGGCGGCTTTAATTGGTATTAGTGATGCACTGCGGACCATCCCCAAATTGTCACTTTACGTAATGTTGAACGCCCTGATTGCACGGATTATTGCGCCACTTCTGGAGAGCGGGAGCAGTGGACTTTTTCACGGATGGATGAAAGCTGGGCTCTAGGGTTAGTGGAGGGGTCTTCTGTCGAGAGGCTTCCATCAGTACTAAGTTCAGGCTTTCGGATCACTGCAGCGTATTTCAGGCGGAAGTGGCTTCTATCAAGCAGGCGGTGGAATTACTCAGGAGGGCGATTACAGTCAGGGTGATGAGCGTTTATTCAGATAGCCAAGCGGATATCAGCGCCTTAAGTGCGTTGGAGGTGCTCTTTAATTGCCTGGAAGATGACGAGTTGGAAACACCTCAACACTACCTTCCTAAGTGCCAAGCGTTTGCGAGGCATGTGTCCCTGACATATGGAGCTGCCACCTAACCCAATAAGTGATGTTCTACCTCGGCGGAAATTCGTTCGAAAATACATCAGAAGGTAAATACCTTCCACTTGATTCCAGGATTCTAAAAACATGTTCGGGACCCACTCCTCTTAGCCCTTATTTATACTAGAGCGCACATATGTCCATATACATACATATATAAATATACTAAAATGCTCAGTATGGTGAGAGAAGCCATGTCTGTCTCCGCCTCCGTCACGAAAACTCGAGCAAAAATTGAGATATATCAACAAAATTTGGTATGTAGGTGTTCCCTTACCAAAGGTAGGTGGGTATTGAATCGGACTGTAACCACGCCCACCCCCCATTCAAAAAAATGCAAAAATTACGATATTTCCGTAAGTACTAGATCCAAATTGTTGAAAACCGGAATGCGAAGTAATATTTTAGCATAAAATAAGAAAATTATGAAATTTTTGGAAAATAGGCGTTGCACTGCCCACTTATGAAGAATTGCTTAGAGTTTCACTAAAAAACCTGCACTTTATGACTACAAAGGTGTATCTTGGTAGACACTTTATCGATTTCTACCAAACTTGGTTCAATCACAATCATTAAGTCTATCTCAGAATATTATCGAAAAAGTATGAAATCGAAAAAAAAACATCCCTGCTTATCATGCGAAGATAGTTAATAGGAAGGTGCCCGAACTTATATGTACTCTTTTACTTGTTTATAAAGGGAGGATCATGAAATGGGTTCTTTCTAAAAATGCTTAAAAAAGTAAGAAAATCCAATTTTCCGGTATTATTGGTTTACTTCAAAGAGCAAAAATTACCATTATTTATGTAACACAATTTCATTCATCTTAAGGGCCTGAATCGTTAATGGATTGTTCGCATAACATCGGACCTGCACGGCACCCCACAAGAAAAGGCTAACGGCATCAAATCGAAGCTCCGAGGTGGCCAATCGACATCGCCGAGACGATTACCAAACATGGCGCGCAAAAGATCGATTGTGGCATGAGCTGTGTAGCCTGGCGCGCCATCCTGCTGAAACCAATGATCGTCCAAGTCTATGGTTTCAATTTCCAGCCACCAAAAAAAAAAAATCATTTAGCGTGCCTCTGTAGTGCTCACCGACGACCGAAATGGCGTTTCCAGCAGCATTTTCAAAGAAAAATGGGCCAATGATGCCCGAACTGTCACTGCCTGAGGATACATTGGCTTCTTGACGATCACGTGGGGGGTTTACGAGCCCCGGATGCGACAGTTTTGCTTATCAACATAGCCGCCGAGATGAAAATGACATTTGTCGAGCAGAATCGTTCTGGCAAAATAACATATGATAAAAAAAGCATATGGACCACCCTGTTATACGTTATAAAATAGCTTACAAACGAATATTTACGTGTAAATTTATGTATGCATCGAATGTATGTTAATACAAATGTATGTTCAATTGTACTTACTATGTATATAAATATCGATGCATTCAAACTCAATTCTTACATCTATAAAATAATTAAAAGATTTTCGTTGAGTCATGCCCACTGCATTAGCTTATTAGGCGGAAGTTAATGAGTTTTCACCACATAAGTAATTAAGAATTTTCTTTGGCCTCAATGGTAAGTAAGATATGATTTTGGCTATTTCTTTTCAAGCAGACAGGAACGAAATGAGCTTTCGTATGATACAAAATGTTTTCTTCTTAATTTTTCTTTTCGTACTGTACTTTCGGTAATATTTGCGATCAAAGGTTTGTGTCCGCAATGTTGATGTGCAACTTGACTAACTGACTGACATTCGTTAGTTTTCCTGCTGATTGCTTATGTGCGCCTCGTAGAAATCGGAGCACGGTAGAACAATCAACAACGGCCGGAAAAATTTCCATAGCGTCGTTATTGTGGTTGCTGAATGAAGTGCACTGGGGCTGACTGAAATTCGAACAATGAATTTATACTCAACACAGAAATAATGGCATACATATCGAGCCCTAACCGCCAAAATAACGTAAGCGACATTTTTTTCGAATTTTTTTTTTATGCAGAAATGAATCTAGATGCTCTAAGAACATTTCTGCATCAAAAATAAAATTTTGAAAAAATGTCGCTTACGTTATTTTGGCGGTTAGGGCTCGATATGTACATATGTATGTAAGTAAGTTTAAGAGTATACGAATTCTGTAACGACTTTTTACGAATCTTCCAAAAAAATCATATGAAGTGACTGACAAAAGAACTCGTAAAGAAATTTCTCTGATTTATTAAAGATTCAGAAAAAAAATTTTAACATCGCAGTATTATTTTTATTATTTTTACGAGTCTGCTCCGAAATTTCGTAAATGAATCGAAGTGTACCTCCTAAATAAGAGATTAATTTCGTTTATATCTATGCACCTCTAACACAGTTCGGTGAATAAAAAAGTGTGAACATCTTAAAGCCGACCCTTTCAGCTTTTCTTTTGTAGAATATTTTCCAAAAAATGTATTTTGTCTGGTAAACCTCTTTAGCAGTTAAACCATATGTATGTAGTCGCAAGTTTATAGCGACTCAGAAGCATTTTCATCGCTGAATTCTTATTGCTATCCCCAATCCCCCAATCATCTCGTTCAGTTCATAATTCGGTCAATTTTCTTCACAGGATCACAAAAGGTTGATTGTCTGTCTCATTTATGGGCTGTCGATGAAAACAGTAGCTTTTCCGGCCTTTAAGTTCGGAGGCTGTCCAAACTACAAGCCGCAGTTTCGAAAACATTTTCTCCGCAAAATATTTTTTATCAAAAATTTAACTTTAATTTCTGTTCGAAGATTATTTCTACCAATTTTAGTAAACATTTACCTGTAAGTGTAAATCTGTGAGCTGCTTTGTAACGAATCATCGGTAATTTTCGCATCGCTTCTGCAAAATTTCAATGTAATATCATAATTTCACATAGTAGTCAGTAGTAGCGATGCAAAAATATCACTCCACCGTTCCAGAAACAACACTGATGGTACAAATGGTACTCGGTTTCTGCCAGGAGCGCATGACTGACTAGCTGCTATCCAACAAAATGCATAGTACGGTTTTGAACACCACATATAGAACACAAACCGCTTTTACCATTTCGTAGCTGCGTACAGTACGAGCGAAAAGCTACTATATGTACAGTAAACACAAAGCTCTAATGTCAGTTTGCAATTCGTCATCTTGCTATTCAGCTAACGCTAACGCCGGAACAAAGTATTGGCACAGCAAATTTTTCACAATATATGCAACAATTTCCATGCTAATATTTTTCCGCCAATTTTGTATAAAAATATATAAAATGTAATTCCTAAACTCGGTTCGAAACTCGTGAAAATTCACTAAATTTTCATGTAAATTTTAAATTTTTTAATCAGATTTTCCAGAATTTTTGCAGGTTTGCAGCCCATTAAATTCTAGTAAAAAAATGTACCTACCAAAATCCTTAATTTCCTTAATGTGTATAAGATAAACACAAACACCTACGCTTATTTATCAAACGTTTTATTTAAATAAGTTAACAAAATAAATATTTACATAATTATTTACAAATTCAGTTGTTTTTGTGCAGCTTTGCTTGCCGCACACATAAAGGGAAACTCTTAAAATTCTTCAACTGCTACAAAGATTTTATTTTTTTATTTTTCGCTATTAAGTATTTAAAATTGTTTGCAATCTTTGGAAATGCTTCACCCCTTAGTATCGAAGTATTTTCATACGATCGCGTCGACACTCCTCGAAGGTGAGAAAATGTTTTGTGATCGCACTGGGTGCACAACCGCTGGTATAGAGACTCACACATTTGCCGGTGGTGGCATTGTAGGCATAGCGCAGTATTTTGCTTTCACAGAGCAGGGGAATACGGGGTATTTTGCAGGCGGGGACTGAAAGAAAAATAAAAGTCATATTAATATTTTGAATTTTAAACGTTGGCGAAAATTTCAAGAGGCGAAAATTGTTGATGACAAGTCGAATATAAAATAAAATCGATTTTCGAATGCGGCAAGCTACAGAAGATACTTAAAGAAAGCCCTTTCCATTAACTATTTAGGTGAAAGATTGCAACTCTCCACGAATAAGCTGATTCGGTTTTATCGGTGTGGCCTCAGGCCTTACAAATATACTATTGTTTACATTGTCATGGTGGTCCTCAGCTAAGCAAATCGATGCACAGTCGGTTTTAAAGCGGCATTTAAGACCTTAAAGGGAGACTGCCCCACGAAGCCATGCCTAAATTAGCGCTCCTCGAAAAACTCAAACGGCTATGTAGAATGAAGTTGAGCCCAGCCCTCAGCCCTGCACATTCGTTAAGTGCTTTACATCTGTCTTTTTTTGCTGTCGATGAGAAGTTGGAGGTCGCACTACCATTCAGTGGAACCCAAAATCGATTTTTGGTCAGATTAACATCCAATTTTTTTAAGTAGCTGTGGCAAATTGGGGGACCGCTGAGCTAGCCGGGAAAAGTACCGATCTCCCAATATGTAAAAATAGAGGCATAATTGGAATGCCCATGGCAACCTGCAGATTAGAACTTAGAAATAACATGATTCAAGAGGCCAACAGGTCATGACTAGAGGAGGGCATATCTAGAACAAACAGGACAAAAGAGTTGCTCACGGCTTGTGTAACTGGTCATTGGCTAATTGGTAGGCACTCTTTATGACTAGAAATATTCTCCCACGAATATTGCAGAAGTTGCAGAGATGAGGAAGAGGAAGAAACACAGCACAGGAAGAAACACAGACAGGAAGAAGTACAGCACTTCTTCTGCAATTGCCCAGATTTGGCCAAGAGGAGAGTAGGCTTATTAGATACGCTTTATAAGAGCTTCAAAATGGTTCTATGAGGAATAGTCACTCAGGTTCCCGTGTTTTGCAGTGTAACCACAATAGACCTTCAAGGTCTAAGCGAGTTGGTTATTTGCACCGACTGCCACACCAACCTAACCAAGCCTAGTAGCTGTGGCCCGTCGGCAGTCAATCGTATATCTCCAAGTACAATTCTGATATGAAAAAAATGTTCATAAAAATCCAGTTGAAGTTCAGAGGCCGGGTAAAACTGCTGCCTCCTTCGATCGTGTGATAACATGAAGATGCACACCGCAAGTTGGAGGTGCTCGGCCGAATACCTAACAAATTATTTGTTTAGATCAAGACAACAGACAATAATGGATTTCGACCAAATCACAAAAAAGGTGTTCTAAGTACCTATGTATTTAAAAAATGCTATGTGAAAACTTTTCTATTCAATGCTTAATGAAAATCCCGGTATTACAGCCGACATTAAAACAATCGACTCTGTGTACTTAGTTTGCTGTTGATTTCGGTCAGTATTGAAAGTTCAGAGACCAAGGTTAGGTTAGATTCGCCTGGCTGACCCATATGATCTCAGATTGCCTATTTAAACCATTTGTCTGCTGAAAGCAATGAAATAAGCAGGTACAAGCCGCTTGGCTATTAACAAAGATAGTGACTTTTTGGACTGAAACCGTGCAATTTATTAAAAAGCAGCTGCTTTCTCTATTACATAAACCTCAGCTAAGAAGACGCTGGTGTTGTTTGTCAGACTAAATTTCCGACTGTTCTACAGGACTTCCGAATATCGGCCGGTGCCGATAGCCTGCTACATTTTTAAACCAGCAGTGGATATACCATCATCTGTCACTGTTAGCCCTTGGTTTCATTTATCTGTGATCGGAAATGAAAAAAAGGCATTACTCGGTTAGGGTTGAAACTTAGCCAAGCAAGTATTTTTTAATACAGTCTTAGAAGTGTTAGAATATGTAAGCTAGTTGTCAATTAGAAACCCCAAGGAAAGTAAAGTCTCCCCTAGCTGATCTTTCCAATGCAGAAAGAGGACTTTACATTCGTACTTTCAAGGCAAAAACCAGCACTATACCATATTCAACGTCACAGTCTTGTAAAAGGCTATAAGCCTTCCTACTTCCCCAGAATTTTTCTCTTAAATACTCTAAGCATCTCCTCATCGGGTTTAGTGAAAACTCGAGCAAAGTTCGAACTGTCAGCTTATATCAAATAAACCCTCAAACTTACTTGTGGAACGCGTATGTGTAACTCGAAGTGACTTTGAGTAGCTTGTGGAACAAACTTCTTATATTCTTGCTCTGTTACACTCAATTTATTAACTAATACAAAGATATGCATGTACATACCTGTTCGATCAACCGCGAAACTGCCGGCGTCCACTTCACGCGTTAAGTGGATTAGAAGTATTAGAAGCAAAAGCAAGGATACGCTCCGTAGCTGACGACTTGTAATTGCTTTTAAATTCAACGCATTATTGCTAGACATTTTTTAAAGCGTTTTTTTTTTATTAGTTTCACTTTTTTCAAATTCAAATCGCAGGCTCTGCTCAAATAAGTAACCACCACGCTCAGTAAGGACACTTTGTGAATACGCGTGCGCACTACTCGAACTGCAGTTTTTTAATAAATTATTTAACCTCTTGCTGTGGCTGTAAAGACCCCTGATAGCATCACTCAGCTTTACGACGATTTTGCCACAAATTACATCAGTTTTCAACACCACTTTCTTTCTTTGGCGACAGCAAAGTCATTCATAGGTACACTTTTCTCCACTTGTGCCTTCTCAAGTGGCTGTGATAAGGCGATTGCAGCTGACAATAGTTTGCAATTATGAATATTGAAATAATTCTTTAATAGTTAT